AAAAATTCGTTTACAACCCTCAGTGACATAACGCGACATTGAATATAACTTTTGTTTCGCGTTTCCGATGAACGTTTCGGGTCACAGAATTTGATTTACACACTATATTACATACACTATCACATAAACATGATGCTCATGTAGTGTTTTACCAAAAGATTGTACAGTGTAACACCGATGGTGTTACGGTAGCCTTGCTGCGAAGGGGCGGCGTCCCGTTGGCTCGATAGCTTGGAGTGGTCAGAGGCCGACGGGGTCGCCGTGTTGGTCATCGTACTCCTGTCGATGTTGGAGCTCTACCTGATGCCGCTGGGCATGACTGTTCTCGATGCGATTGCGGGCATCGAGATTGGCGTTGATACGGTCGTGGGCGTCACCGCGCAGGGGTTGATTAACCTCCTGGTTGGCGTTATGAGCTGGTCAGCCACGTTGATTTCATAGTCCTTGTGATCCAGGATTGATGGCATCATTGCCCCTGGACCCCCCTTGGATGATCTGGCCACTGTGGTAACGACTCCCCCCTTATGGCGAGAACCATGGGGGTTACGACCGCGTGCAGACGCTGTCAAAAAGGACGGAGCTAGGTTTTGGATGTCGTTGACCTAGACCTAAGCTACTTTAAGCAATGCTTGGATCTTGAGTACCTCCAGCGTTGGTGGGAGTCTAGCCAACTCATGGGTGGCCACAGCCAGATTGGCGCTCGGCGTCTGCTCCACTTGCTGGTTGTCCACCATGAGGAACTCTTGTTGGAGATTACGAGCGAGAGGCGGCGGGTCACCTCTGGCAGCTTGGTCGGCATTTTCTGCTTCTTCATTACAATGTCATTGGCAATCAGTGTTCCTGGCTTTGTGTTCACGGCGCTGGACACTGGTCTCTCCATCGATAGCAACGCTGTCGTGGCTAACCATGAAAAGCTCTCTCGTAAAGCCTAGAGGGAAAGGTGGACAACTGTTGGTAGAACCCTCGGAGTATGGCTCGGGGCTTTCCTCCAGGATTGTATGGAGCGTGTCATCTAGAGGATTTGTTTAGATTTGCACCATGTTTACCATTGGCGCGGGCTGGTTGGCCTCAGGGAAGTCGATCTGGTAGAGGTCGTTGACGTAGCTGTGCTTGGTGTGGTCGACGAAAAGATGGTGCAGGACATCCTAACAGATCGGATCCGCACCCACAAGCCCAAAAGAATAGGGCCTTGGCATGTTCTCCGTCGGGGCGGGGAGTGGTCGGCGTTGAACGGTACGCCCTTCCAGAGTTACCGTGATCACCAAATCTTCATCTTACCACCTCAGACGACGTGCACGAGTAGGGTGCTTGGCATTAGTGGCATGGTGACCTTGGAGTGCAGAAACTTCATCGCTCACTCTAGATTGATCTAAGACCGAATCCACGAGGAGATGGCATTCCGCTAAGCGGTTTGTGACCCGATTGATGGATGCGTTCAAATCGTCATTGCTGATGGATCTCCTAACCCAGCGGCGAGGCGCCGAGATCGGAGATGTCGTTGTAGATGTTGGCACAATCGGCGTAGGATGATTCTGCACTGCCTCCATGATTTCCTCGACGCCGCCGGCGCCAATGACCTAGGTCGTAGATCCGACCGTGATGGTCTGACCTAGCTCGGGAAGGATCATGGAGCTCAGGAAGCGAACCATCTGGCTCGTCATGGAATTAGAACGCACACCCCCTACCTGGCGCGCCACTATCGACGAAATATGGTCGACAGTCTACCGAGGCGTATGCCCGCGGTAGTAGATGAATCGATGGAGGTGCGCGTAATAGGAGCCGGATGGTGACACAAGCGCAGAGACAAGCGATTTAGACAGGTTCAGGCCGTCTGATCAACGTAATACCCTACGTCATGTGTCTTTGGTGGATTGTATTGAATATGAGATGCATTCGAGGGGGTCCCTACCCGCCTTATATAGTCTAGAGGGTAGGGTTATAGGTCGGTTTAAGTTTAGATCTATTCGGCTATATGGGAGTTTTTACGAGGAATACGATATCTATCATATCCAAATAGATCTTCCTTCATTGCCAAGATGTCTTCTGATTGCGTTGCGGTGCACGCCGACCAGAGCCAAGCATCGTAGGCCTTGATCTTATGGGCTGGACCTCTCCTGGCGGTGCGGCCCATGTTCATTGCCGTGGGTACCTGGGGTTATACCCCCCACAAACGCTGCCTGACTTGGATGGAAGACGACCCGTTGTGAAGATTGGGAGTAGTCGCGCAAAGAGTGCTTCCCAAAAACCTTATTCGTCCTCTCCCGGTGCAGGATTGCAAGGATGAGGATTCCAGAGACTTAGCTCTCCCGATCGCCGGTGCACGCTGACGATCGGGATGGAGAGACTACGGCGATAGCGCAATGGCGAGAAGAGAAAAATACTAATTGACTACCTTAGGATTTTTTCACCTAAAGTTTTCAATAGTAGTTTTTGGTGTGTCTTATCTAGTTGGATTGGTATATATGATTTGGAGTTTGGATGAATACATGGCATTTTGTCAGCTATACTCACCTCTGTAGCTAGCTTCTTCCATGGGCCTGTGTGGAGATATAGCTGGATCGCACAAGCGCCGAGACCCGCGGCAGCCAGGACGCGGCGAGGCCGTTGCCCACCTATGGATGGAACCACGACAATGGCGGTGGATGATCATACCAGCGACAAACTGCAGCGCACTGCAGGGATACGAGGGCGGCGGACGGAGCGAGTTCTGCAGCGATCGATGCCGGTGGCAGATGGAGCGAGTTTTGTGCCATGTTTCTTGTACGCTGCAACTGAAAAGAAGGCAACGCGAGCCGCATGTGAGATTGGAGCTGAGCCGAGCCGCATGAAACGGGATCGGAGTACCAGCCCATGGTGGGACTGGATGGGTGGGGGGACCGCTCGCCGGCTAGTTAGACGGGGTCGGGTGCGAATTAGATATATTCTGTAGCCAGCTACAGTACAACACACACACATATATAGCAGCGCTATTCTACATCATAGGTGTAGAATCCAAAATTATCTAGAAAAAAATACTGAGTACTACTTAACATCGTTCAATACCACTCAGTAGTACACCCAGCACCATAAAATACTGAATAATACTGAAACACGACTGCTGAACGACACTGAATTCTGTTCAATATATCAGTTTGGTGTAGAATAGTATTCTAGGTGTAGAATAGCGCGTGTATACAGGGAGGAGAACGCACTACCTCCACATCAACTAGCAATATGATACTAATTGATGTTGCGCCTTCTACCTCTACTCATCTACCTCTACTCATCTACCTCTACTCATGAGCTTAAATATTAAAGCCCATTAGAGAACATAGGTATTTGGCTTTTAAGATTTATTAGAATTTCTTCGTAAACAAGCTCTCAAAAAGCAATACAGGACACCCACGTCACCTCAAATGGTAAATGGCAAACTGTTGGGTGATTCACACTCAAGCATCTGTATTGAATAAAATTTTTAGAAAAATAGGCCTCAGGAGGTATTTATAGAGCCTGGTGCCTTTGTTGTTCCTTGCACAATTTTCATCATATCCATAGGACAATTGCTATAATTAAACAGAGATTTCTTTACATCCTAGGACAATTCGGTCATTACACAGCTATTAGTACATTTCTAATTCGACTACTTGGCTTCGCGTGACGAGTCTTTGGATGTGTCTTCGCGATCCTGAGATAGGTTGGCTTCGCTCCGCTTGTCTTTGATTTCGCGTCATCACGAAGTGGGCCACTCGCCTTCGTCCTTCCGTCCTCAGTTTCACTCTGTCCCGAAGTTGGCTAATCGTCTTCTGGTTTTCTCCTTCGACTTCATTTCTGCATTCCTATCTTCCCTCTTCAAGCTTCGCCGTGCGAGAGCGATTCACGGCTTCGCTGATGGTTGGCGTGCCGACGCGTGGCCGGGGGCTACAGCGAGTCTGTGCCTGAGAGACACGAGCGACGCAGCATGTTGCGATTTCAAGAACCAGCGTGCTGTGATTTCGTGTCCAGGAACGTGATTCGTGGGTAGGTCACTGATCTACGGGCCCGTTGATGTTGAACCCCACAGGTAGTGAGTGGGCGGAAGCAGCGCCCAGAGATACTGGTCTCTCGAGCGTGCACCAGGCAGAACACCAGGGACCATCATTCCTTGTGCCGCGAAGTGCTGTGTACCAGCTATGACGGGTCTCTGTCCCCAAGACTTTCCTTTCGTCCCTTCTTCTCAGATTGAGCGTCCACTGCTTCCTTAAATCCTACATCAGCTTGTTTTCTGTATAGGCCGTTGTCCAGAGGAGCAACAGGTGCTTCAGCAGTCGCCGGCTCGTTGGCCACGGAGATTAGAGATTATCCCCAATCCCGATGAGGATTTTTAACCCGATCGCTGGATCGTTTCTGTGGCTTATAAGCCGACGGATGCTGTTTTAGTGTGAGAGAAAAATATTGTATCATGACTGATAAGTATGGCTGATACGATTAAGCGAACAGTGCGTTCATCCATTAAAGACGAAAATGGGGTGTTTTTGATTTTCGCGGGGGACTTAACAAGCCAAAATTCATCCCCGTCGGGTGAAGCGGAGAAGTTAACGTTCCCCAGCTCCCCGTCCCCGTCCCCGTCCCCGTTACCCATCGGGCTCCGATCGTACAAGTGCTGCTGTTGCGCTGGCCAAAAGAAGCCCAATAGAAAAGGATTGCCCAACCCTAGCACATTCCATTCAGCCGCCGCCAGTGGTCCTCTCCCTTCTCCGCTCGCGAATCGCGCCTCTCCTGCTCTCCAGCCGCGACTTCGCGACCCTGCTCCCTCTCTCTCTGCTCGTGAGTCGTGACCGCTCCTCCATCGCTGCTCGCTACCGAGAGGTCAATCAAGGCCCCCACAGAGCTTCCAATCTCCATGGGCGACGGCCGGTGAAGCACCTCTTCATCCTCCAGTCAGATCACACTCCCCTCCACTCCACTCTCACTGAGCCCAAATGCCCAATCCACCGCGCGCAGCTCCGCCGACCAAACCCTAGCTTCTATCCGCGGCGTGCAGCATGGCGCCGCGGCCGGCGCCGCCGGCGGCGCTGATGGACGAGCTCGTGGAGGAGATCCTCCTCCGCATTCCACCGGACGTCCCCGCGCGCCGCCTCCGCGCCGCGCTCGTCTGCAAGCGCTGGCGCCGCATGGTCTCCGACCCCAGATTCCGCCGCCGGTTCCGTGAGTTCCACCGCACGCCCCCGATGCTCGGCTTCCTCCGCAATCACGGGCGAGCGTCGACCTTCGTGTGATCGTGTCCACCTCCTCCTTCCGCGCGCCCCCTGCCGATCGCGTCAACAGCCGCGCGATCGACGCGCGCCATGGCCGCGTCCTCCTCCAGAGCCAGGGCCCTTCGGATCGGAAGCCCTGGGAGGATGCCTTCCATGTCTGGGACCCGATCACGGGCGAACGGAGGAAACTGCCCGTGCTTCTGCCGGGGCCCGTCTACCCTTGGTCCTGGAATGCCGCCGTGCTCTGCGCCGCAGCCACCGAAGGCTGTGAACACCTCGATTGCCACCGCAGACCCTTCCTGGTCGTCTTTGTGGGCAGCGGCAACGGCGTGGAAACGTCCGCGGTGTGTGCCCATGTCTACTCATCGGAGTCTGATTTGTGGAGCCGGCATATCTCTGATCCTCACTTCTGTGATGAGATCCGATTGGAGCCAAGTGCCCTTGCAGAGAATGCGCTCTACTTTCGGTGTATGGATAGTGTCCTCAAGTATGATTTGGCCACACGGGAACTATCTTTGATTGTCCTGCCAGAAAAATGCTTCTTTTGGGGACGCGCTCCACTCATGGCTACCGAGGACGGTGGACTTGGACTTGCCTACATACGTTCAAGTAGATTGTACCTGTGGTCGAGGAAGGCTGGCCCTAGCGATGGTGCAGGATGGGCAAGCAAAGTAATTAAGTTTATGGCATTGCTTCCTGCTCATGGCGACACACTTGTTCCGATGGTTCTGACTGGCTTTGCACATGGCCCTGATGTTTTTTTGTGACGACAAGTGTGGGGATTTTCATTATTGATCTGAATTCCATCCGTGTCACAAAGGTGTGCGAAGAAAGTTGCTACGAAGAAAGTTTCCCCTACATGAGCTTATGCACTCCAGGTAACTAGAGTAGAAGAGTAAGAGAGACTTATGCATCATGCCTGTCTTTAACATGGATATATAACGTCACTTATTTTGTGACCGACTAGTATTCAGATTGGGCATTATTATTTCATTTTGTGTCATGAAGTTTTGGATGATGGTATTTGTGCTCAAGCAAAATGAGTTCGTGAAAGTGGGATATCACAATTACATTTAAGGCTGTGATGCTTCTACTGTCCTATGTAACAACCTTATTTTTATGAACCAGATTCATGAAATTGGCTAGACATGCATAGGAGCTTTCATTGTCTTCTATTTATCTTGAAAAATGATTTAGATTGGCCATTAAGGTATCCAACAGGGAAGAAACCAAAAAGACATAACCTGCACAACCTTCTGCACATCCAGATATCAACCTCCTACATATCCTTAACACCTATGCATTCTTTGGCTGTGATTTATTGTCAAAGTAACTTAACAATATAATACATGGATGATGATTTTATACTTACAAAGAGAGGGGTTTCTCAAGAGTTATGAATCCAGCCGTTGATGATTAGTTCGCGATCTTTATCTCTTTGTTTTATGTGGTTATTTGTCTATTTGGTTACCCAGCAACTTGTTGCTTTCGTGGCTGGTTAGTAACAGAATGTTCACCAATGGAAATTGACCAGCTGATGTTATTTTCAAAACTATGCATTTCTGCAGCATTGGGAGCAGCCTCTGCCGAGGGATCAAGAACAGGCACCTCAAATGCCTGATAAACATAAGGTTCTCCATTTTGCAGGCTTGTCGGTCAAGGTTAAAAGGGATGATCGTTGTGGTTAATAGTTTATTTTGAAGGTGGGACAACTCTTTAGCATGAGTAAGATTAGTGATGGTCTTAGTTTGTTGGCCTTTAGGGGTTCTTCATTTTGTGCAAGGGATCACATCTCTTGTGTCTGTTATCTTGATCGTCACTGTGAAGTTTGCTTGGGACCCTGTATTATCCTACTCTATGTGTACTCTTGAACATTAGCTTTAATGAAACCCTTGAATGGTTGAATGCGAATGGTATCTTTGTTCAAGAAAATGAGCATTTGAATTTAAATACACCACAATTCCATATGTGCCATATTATTCTTGCCCAGTTTTAGCTGGATTCATTACTTTGTTATCTTGTGGTTTGAACATGAGAACTGAGGATGTATAAGTAGAACTGGGGAAGAAATTAAGTATGCACGACTCCTTTTGCGCCATCTTGATCAGGGAGCGTTAGATATTCCTAATTTTAGTTTTGGTTCATTGTCTTGTGGCTTGAGCCTGGAAATTGAGGAGGAAAGTAGAGTTGACGTAGTTTTGCACCATCTTAAGCATGGGGAACTAAATACTCAGGCTCGTTAATCATTCGGCAAGTACGAATCGTTTAAAGCCGTTTGGAACCCGTGTGGAGTAATTTTGCATGAATGAATACAATTCATACAAGTATCTTTTAAATTTTCTATAGTAGGACAAAGTCTTAGCTAGTTAATTGGAAAGCGTGAAGTCACTCCTGTGCAAAGGACGTAGTTTGCGACAAAGATAAATTATTAGTTAAAATTTGTTAGTCAACTTCGGGGCTGTGCTGTCCGAGGTTAAATCTCCAACACAAACTATTTCCTTCTTGCTAAAAAAAAACAATTTTAACATAGTACCGGGTCAAACTATTTTGAGTTCGACCAAATTTATATAAAAAAGTAGCAATATTTATGTTATAAATTAAATGCCATTAGATTTGTCGTGGTATGTTTCCATAACATACCGATATGGTGTCATAAATATTGATATTCTATAAACTCAATCAAAATTTAGATAGTTTAGCCAAAGACGAAATTTGAATAGTATTCTTCTGAGGATAGAGGTAGCTAGTAAAGTGCCATGCTTGGCGAATATTCTCATTGCCACGGTTTCATCATCCCACATGCCCACTTTTATTTTGGGCTTCTCATCCTCCTTTCAAAGAATAGACCAGAAGTGCGTCTAGCAAATAGCCTCAAAATAACATGTAAATAACAATATTACATTTTTATGTCAAAGATTAACTTTATTTCTGGTCAACCATACATGTAGAAAAATTGCACTTGCTAGCACGCGAAATTAGGATTGCAATTCTTGGCAGTTGGTCGACTGGGCCACATCCCAAAACAACGTTTCACAAAATGCCTTCCAATAATTTGAGACTAGACTTCTAGGAGATGATGCCTGGTAATAGAAGGTGGGAGTAAACCTATAGGAGATGTTGACAAGTGTCAAAGTTTTATTAGGGGAGTTTGAATCTCAGATTTGAGATTGTTTAACGAGAAGCGAGATTTTCATTTTTTTGTGTGTGTGGGGGGAGAGGGGGGCTGAAGGAGTAGAGTATCAACTTGGTTTTTATAATGGTTAGATTATTAAAATAAAAAAGACAAAAAAGAAGAAAAGGAAGGAGAAATACAAACTTGCTGAGCTGGTTGGCCTTTGTCAAAGGTGGGTAGTGATGACTAGTGGCTGTCCTCATCTTCAGACTGGTTACTAAATGCCGTGGGCCTGTGGCTTTTGATGGTGGTCTGTGTTTGAATTAGGCTCATGGGCCGTATTATTCCAAAGCTAACTTTCGAGCACGGTGGTTTACTCTTTTTTTTTTCCTTTCCTGACCATTTCCTTCCTCTGTGTTTGCCAACAGATTGAAACTGAAGTGCTCAGTCTTGAGTTTTTTCAGGAACAGATCTGTTCACAATTGCAAGTACTGAAGTTTTCAAAAGGCCGAGGAACCGACCCATTTGTTTTAGTTTAATCGAATGCCCATCCCTACATCCGCAAGAACGAGAGGACTCCAAGGAGAGATTCGAGGGACTTCTCATTTTGGGCCTTGTTGTTTTTTTCCCGTCCTCAAATTAATCGCTCTAAGTTGAGCACTTTGGCCTATTTGGTTGGTGATCATAACTTGTCACGCCATAGTTTTGTCATGTCACAGTTTTTCTTGAGAGTCGTTTGGTTCATTGCTACAAGTATGGCACGTCATACTTTTTTGCACCCTATTCCACGTGTCATATACTTATTTTTGTGCTAAACTTTGCTAAAACTGTGGCTTTGATTTCGTGCGCCGCACTTTTTGTGGCAGCCGTAGTTTAGCGAAGGTTGGACGAAGCAAGTTGCGGTCACCAACCTGGCTGGAAGCAGTAACACGTACGGCGTGTTCATGAGTCATGAGTCGGTGGCAACAGCTGCCGGTCCAATTTGAACCACTAGTCCAAACAACTCTCTCTCTCTCAGTCTCTTTCTTCCTTCATTGCTACTTAACCTGTGCTTGTCTGCTTGCCTTGTACCGGTCATCAAAGACCAGCCGCCCAACCCCAGCATGGCGCAGTGGCAGTGCTTCCTCAGCTTCGCCGTCGTCGCAGTCTCCGCCGCGGCGTCCCTGGGCGCGATCCTCCGGGTGAACAAGCTTCGTCGTCCACCGCGCGCGGACGACGGCTCCGCCGCCCCTTCGCCTCCGTGGATGAGCTGCTGGAGCCGGGTGCCCCCGTCGTGGCTGCTGGCGTTCAGAGCCACGGCCGCCGTCGCGCTCGCCGCCGTGCTGGCGTGGGACTTGCGGACCTACGACCCCAGCATCATGCTGTACTACACCGAGTGCGTGCACTCGTTCTCTCCTTCGAATAGACCCTTGCAGATATAGCAAGTACAGTTCAGTTGTAACAACAGTATTGGCGTCCGTTCTTCTTCCCATGAGCCGTTTTGCAGATGGACACTGCTGCTAGAGATCGCCTACTTCGCGGTACGTGTCATCAACGGGTTCATAGCACGAGCACGCACATGCACGTCGGCACGTGTTAAGTTTCCGGCCGGCCGGCCGGCCTTGAATTGATGCTCCGAGTGAAACGTGTGTAGGCTGCCACGCTGTGCTCCGCGTACGGATGCCGGATGATGTACTGCTACTCGTCACGAGACCGCGCGGAGGATCCCGAGAGCAACGACGACAGATTGCTCGGCCCCAGCTGTGGCGGTGGCGACGAGCCGAACCCAAGCGGTGATGCTTGGGAGGGAGCTGGGCGACTGGGACTCCAGCTGATGCAAATTGGCTACCAGGTCCAGCTTCTTGCTCTGCTACTTGGCATATCAGTTGGTGCTCCTGTCTATCACGTTTGCTGCAGAACCAAGCGTGTGACATCATTAACATACGTGCCTGTTTCTTCACAGAAACAAAGTGTTTGTCATTAAGCAATCTGATCGTTCGTCCCTGTTGCAGGTCAGTGCCGGCGCGGTTGTCCTGACGGATGCGGTCTTCTGGGGCCTGATAGTACCATTCACGTTGTCAGCACATTTCAGTCTCAATGCAGTGAGTGGTTCTCATCACTAATCGTTGAGATTAGTAGCTATTAAATGAAAAAAGTACAGATTTTATCTCTGCAAAACATTGCTCCTGAACTTGCTCATCCTGGTATTAGTAGTAACAACTCTGCAAGCATTTGCTGATATTCCGACCGCTTCAACAAAATTACCTGCGTAAATGTGACACCTTGGGTCGATCGTTTCAGGTGATGGGCTGCATACACTCTCTCAACCTTGTGTTCCTACTGACAGAGACTGCACTAAACACCTTGGTACGTGAAGATGGGATGGAACAGTCTTTCGTTACTGTTTGCAAAGCCATGTGGATTTGTCGTGACTCTACTTCTCTGTTTCTCTAGCCCTTCCCTTGGTTCAGAATCGCATACTTCATTCTCTGGACGTGCCTGTACGTGATCATCCAGTGGATCGCCCATGTCTGTGGTATGACATGGTGAGATGTGACTCTCAGTGCTTCTATTGATTGTTTGCTATACAAATCGAGGCTAACCACCCGTGCTTTCACCCTACATATCTATGCGCATTTGTGCAGGTGGCCTTACCCTTTCCTCCGTCCTGAATCATCCTTGGCACCACTGTGGTACGGCGCCAGATCAATCAGTTTTCCTGAATACACATTTTCGACATTTGTGTTTGTTTTCATTGCGAATTTGCGATAATCAGAAATCTGCATGCAGGTATTTGGCCATGGCATCGCTTCATTTCCCATGCTACCTCGTTTACTGGCTGATTTTTAAGGCAAAGAGCAGCTGCTTGATCCACATGCAGGTTGCAAATAGGTCCTCACAGGTCTAACAGATCCACCATGCACCCGAGCAGAACTGAGAAACTGGACCTGGGGGCAACCACATACAAGTAGGATCCTCGAGGAGTTTAGTTTTATGTTTGAACAATTGGAATCCTCACGATGCGGCAACACGGATTCCCATTTCTGGTAGTGTTAGTGCACAATGTGCAGACTGTCGAGGCAGGTATACTGTGAAGGATTTATTTGCAGACGCAGGATGTAATACAAGATGGAGATTCAGATTGAAACTGGGAAGCATGAGAGTATGTATCCTTAGTATCTCCTTTCGGAATTTAGGCCCAGGTTGTAGCCTCCTGGGCTCTTGGGCCTAGACCGGCCTCTTCAACTCTACTTATTTCGCTATGGAAAAATCCTTTTTATACCAATCTTGAAGAAGTATCGCCTGAGTCAGGTTTTCTACTCGAACTCTAAGATCAGATAAACTATATCCTTGAACTCTAAAACCATTTAAATTACCTCACTTTCCCAGTTAGAAATAGTTTCAATGTGGCTTTATCTTTTTAAATGAAAAGAATTCGGTAAACAATTAATAAGGTTTTACACCACAAAAAAATTTTTTTAACCTTCTAAAAATTCCAAGAAAAGTTCTAAAGATAGATTAGAACATGATAAATTCAAATAAAATAATTATAGCTCATGAAAATATCTCTATAAACTTTCAAAATTTAGATTTATC